AAAGAATCAAGAGCTTATTATGTTTAATAATTTTTAAATTAATTAATTTTATCTTCTATTCCACAGAATTTGTATGATAAACCATAAATGAGTTTATCTAATGATTTAATTGTTTATTTTTATTAAAGTTGACATTCTGAAATAAGATTTTCATGTTGTTTTGATTAATCAATTAAAAATTAATTTAATTCATGAATACAAAGAACATCTTCATTATAATGTTGGTTATGTTTATTCTACTTTTGACAACTTAGACAGAAAATTCTATTCTCATCGCAATCATTTGATTTACACCAGAAAAGAGCAGGCGTATCAGGATGATCTATATATTGTAAATCCTATTTCTATTAAAATTATGAATTTTATTTCATTATTTACTTATAAATTAAATTTATCAACTAATATACTATTTCTATATATATGTTATAAAAAATCAGCATATATCATAAGAATTATTTAAATTATTTCCAATTCATTTTTTAAAGAGGATTATATTGTTGATTATGGCTGTAATGAACTAAAATTAGGATACCGTCAAATTTCTTAAAAGATTTACATACTTCATGCTTGAAAAGTATTTAAAAACATAGAAGCATAATAAATCATAAACAGTTATAAAATGTTAAATTGATTGTATAAAAAGTCAAAATTATTGTAATTATAGAAATATTAATTTTTAAAAATTGTATACTATCCTTATGTGAAAACCATGACTAAAAAGATTATTGTGGAAACTGCTTAGAAAGAATACAGATGATTTAAATATTTAATTTCAATAAATCCATACCTAATATTTTATAGTCCTTTTGTATGTGTTGAATTTAGTAAAATTTCTAAAATTCCTTGTTATGTTTTAATACAATTAAAATTAATTAATTAATTAATTAAGTCTTTATTTTATTAGTGAATGAATCTTATTCTAATGATATTTAATAATTTTAATTTCTAATACTTTGATAAGAGAATATAAAAATGGAGGTATATATACTTATACTAATTTCTTACCCTAAAAAATAAACAAAAGAAATGAAGGGAGCTGATGTAAGCTCAAATAAGAAAAATATCATAATTATAGCAAAGCTCTACAAATAAAAATATCATTTGAAGAGGGTTGGTATAATTTCATATGAATAACAATATGAACAGAATTATATTAATTTCATATTTAGAATCTTGTAAACTTATTATTATTAATTTTAATTTTGCAACTGATTTTTAATTTATTTTAACTTAGCAATAATTGAATATATTTATTTCCCATAACTCTAAATTTCATAAATAGAAGAATACTTGAGCTTTTTGATGTTTACCAGCAAACACTTCGATACTAAAATAACTAAATAATTCTCTTTTTGACCAAATTCTTAACTTGGGAATTAAGTCTCTAAACAATAAATAATTTGAGCCATGAATTATCAGAATCAAAAAAAATATATAAATGATTTGATTGAGATGGAAGATGAATCACTGCTGAAATATTAGAGAAAATATTAATCCATCAGAATTATCATATCTTGATTTAGAAAAATGAGGCTAAATTGTAATAGGAAAAATATTAGATTATTGGAACTATAGAAAAATTCTTATTGAAAGACAAAGAATTGGTGGGAATATGAAATAAATGCTATTTCTGTAAAATTGATAAAGAAATGAAAGAGACAATATCAATACAAAAGTAAGCATTACAATCATAAATTGTCAAAGCTCTAAATAAATTTAGGATTCTGATAAATGACAATAGAGTAATAACCTTTTGTTTTTGAAATAAATATTGTTCCTTTATAGCAAACAAAAAATTATTTAAGAAATAGCCAACATTGGCGCTAATCAATTATTCATTAGAATAATTCTGCAAATTAACCAAAAAAAGAATATCATTAAGTTTGGAATATTGTTTTTCGATTAATTTTAAGTATAACAATAAGTAATATTTGAGATTCTTTTATTTCCTCCTGTGAAAAAATCCTAATTTTCAGAAACGAAAAAATATTTCGATTAATGTTTGATGTATTTCTAATAATAAATAGTAAATTGATCCAATGAACATTAAACAAGGGGATTGATATTTTTAAGTTCCTTATCTGCTTTGAATTCAAGAGCGAATAGAAATTAATTATGGGTGCTTCTTTTGGAGTACAATGGTTATGCTATTAAATAGTTAAATTATTAATTAAAGTATGAAGAAAAAATTATTAAAAATATTTCATGTAAACTTAAGTTAAAGTGAAATCCATTTTTATATAATAACAACTCTTCACATTTAAGTTTTTAGGATTATTCTGCAGATTAAACACTAAATATGGCAATTAATTATATATGCTCTCTGAATTATAATTAGATAAATAATTTATCTTTCTCAAATCGAAAAATGGATTTACTATAAAATTTATACTTATTCGAACTATCTTATAACTGATAATTATAGTTTGTCAATCATCACTAAACAATGTATTATGTTTAATTTTGTAAATTAAAAATTATAAGGAAAATAGCTTGGATTATTATAATCTTAGATGAAACATTGATCTTAATTTTTTCAAAAAATTATACAAACTTAAGACTACTAACCATGCTCAATAAAAGATATGATTTCAATTTAATAGATAAGCTCAGATTAATCAATTATACATAATTTATTATTTTACCAAATTTAAAATATGGCCAGACTAAGTCACAATATTGTGAATTTATTGTAGTTCCCTAATAAAATCCAAAGGAAGGCGGTTAGTAAACGAATGGAGGTTCAAAAATCTAAACTCAAGATGCTTGGAGTTAGGAGGGCCCTGCTTTTAAGTTTAGTACTTTAAAATAAAAATAAATGACAATTGAATATTTAAGGAGATCCTATAAAAATTATTTTTCACTCTTTTTTAATTTACCAAAATTAAAGAAGGGAAAATAAATCAATTGTTAATTAAAGTAAGTGAAGAGGGATTAAAACGAATAAATGGTTTTTTATGAATGACCTAAAATTTTGGATTATAATGTATTAAGAGATCAGAGACACATAATAATTTGTTACAATCCAAACGATTTTTGAGTAAAAATTTTTGTGAAGGATTGATTATTAGAATAACTTTAATAAATATGAAATTCTATAAGAAAATTAATGAAAGAACATCTTTTATATAAAGTGTTTTATGACTGTCGATAAATTAAATTTAATTTTGGTTTGATATCTGATCAAACATTAAAACCACAATAAAATCTGTATGATATTTTATAAGGCATTTAATAAAAAATATAACACTTATTAAAATAGTTTTTAACATTTTCGTTAAATTTAAGCTAACAAATATTCCTTTCCATATTGATTATAGAAAAAATAATAAGAAAGTTTACTAATAGGCTTTGAAGGAAGTTTAGAGTGACTAGTAAAGAGAAGTGAAGCTACACCATTAAATTAACTTAATCGCAAGAAATACTTCATTTTCCACTTCACCAGGGCATTCATCACACTTAGAAACATATAAAAAGGATAAAATCTAATAGTCTTCACTACTACAGTTTTCTTTTGGTAAGTTCAGGACCTACAATTCTAATAG